ACCGCCACCATGAGAGAATCGACTCTACCTCCTAATATAGTGTCGACTCGACTTGACTCAATGTGCATCTTTATGCGTCATCAAGTACAAAAGAAGCTAGCTATTGGCAACTTTTACTCTGAGATATACATCTAGGCGACTTCTTCCCGACTTTCGGACATCAAGTGAGTCGAAAAGCGGCCGATTAGCAGTGATAGTCACCTGGCAATGCGAGCCGTCCAAGGCCCACGTCGAGTTGTCGGCAAACCACGTCGACCGCGACCACGTCGACCCGCGTCGACAGCTCCGCTTACCGAGCTCGACCCGTCGACCGACGCGACCACGTCGACCACGCGTCCCGAAAGCAGCTCCGCCGAGCTCCAGACCACCTCGACCACAAGACTACGCCGCAATGATGATCGCCCGCGAAGAAGCGGTACTTTCGACAATCACGACCACGATCCATGACGAATTCGAAAAGCTCAAGGACGGACAACTTCATCGCCAACGACCGTCAAGCCATCTCGAACATCGCAACCGCCGACTACACCCACCGTCGTCAATAAAGCTAAAGTATTATTTTTAATTGAAAATTTCTTGATCATCATACACCTCCGCCGACCATCCTTAAAGGTGCGCTCAAGCGTTGAATTTTCTCCATACATACAATCCAAAACATGTATAAGTTTTTACAACGGTTCGCCGATACATTTTCCTTCACCTTGAGAATCCCAGGCAGCTGCCTTTGTCTCCCTCCACCCACCGTGTGCATGAGAGTCCGCCCTCTGGCGCTCTGGTAGTCGGCGATCGCTCCCCCGTAACACCCGCACTCTCTGCGGCAGGCGTTCAGTACCTGCATGCATGAGATGTTGGTCGGCCCAGAGTGGCGTATTCTTCAGGACGAGTTATTACATCGCTTTCGCCACTACATAACAAAAGGGCTAAAAGCAGCTAATGTTATTTTTCAATATTACACCAAGTATAATTCATCGCCAATCGAACACCAAGTGTTTACTTCACCTCCTACAGAGAGATCAATATATTTACGTACATCATCATGTACTACCGCTCTCCGTGTTTATTTTTCGTGAACATAGTTGGGTCAACGAGCTCATGCTTGAGGGCTCACCAAGACCACTAAGTGCTCGAGGACTTTCATGAGACCACCCTTGTGC